CTAATCTCTAAAATTGTAGGATAAAAGCATGACATCTTGGTTTGGCAGAGAAATCAATACCTAATTTATACCCTACAACCGTAAGCTTACAAAGAAAGCTGTTTGGCGACTGAAATAGACTAATGGATCCAATATTAAACTTTTCAGAACATTTTAGTAAGTATCTACATAACATACTTTTTGGGGGATTAATATGTTAGTAATGAGAATAATTGGAAGTACTGCTAGTAATTACTATATTAAGTCGCCTACCATGTGGTCTTCCCTAGAAAAATAATTATTATTTCCTGGTGAATTCAGGCAAGTGTTCGTATTTTTATAAATCATTCTCTGATACCTAATTTCATGTCAGTGTATATAATGCTAGCGTAAATTCAATCAACTCAATATCATAAAGACTATGTTAACTACGTATTATATTTATTTCTAATTTTATTTTCAGTACTATATTTGAATTTAACATAAACACAACAGCATGTCGAATTTCTATAAATAGACAATAGGTTTAATGAGAATAGCGCCTATAGAACCCATGTGTGTTGTGTGGTATACTTAACAGTACGAGCTACTCTCCCCGGCTTCGCACGGGTGTACCTGTACTATATATATATAAACCTTACTTTTGAATCAATCTATCTATTTAAAAAAACCGCTTCAAAATCCGTTGCGTAGCTTTAAAGGTTTAAGCATACATAAAGACAGCAACAGCGACATTGTTTTATGCTACGTAGTGATGATGATAAACACGAAAGTTTGTAAGGATGGACGTTTGTTACTCTTTCACGCAAAAACTAACTAACTATCTAAAACTAACTAACTAAACGGATTTTGATGAAACTATGCAGTAATAGGCATCAGAATAACACATAGGTTATATTTTTTATTGAAATTTAACGCTGGAGAAACCGCGGGCTAATGTAGTAAATAATAATAATCTTAATAATAAATTAGAATAATCTAAGACGATAACCACATTACGTCGTGAACTCCGGGAATCGCATAGTGGACGCATGAACTATTTCAGTACAACGCAACGGCATTCTCGTGTGTCCAAAATAACTTTTTTCAACGTTTCGTTTCATCACACTAACGACATACGTAATCTGCGTATCTTGTTATAATCGTTTATCTTACTACAGGGTCTATAGGCAACCGACTGTAATTAATACAGTAAATTATTAAATAAACGTAAAAATCAGATAATAGGTAGATATTAATTGGAAACATTTGTTATATTTACAAATAAAGTGTTTCTACAACAATAATAAACCAGTATCATTTACACAATCCCATCTAGTGCTAAATTAAGTAGATCTCGAGTTTGATTCTCTAAATATATTTAAGTAGGTAGATAGTAACAACTGATAGAAATACTTTTTTTTTTATTGTAAGTACACAATATACAAAGAAAACACCAAGACTAATAGACACTTTCATACCATGAATGCAAATATTTTACACAAACAGTCAGACAGGCTTTTCATAAATTAAAACGACTATATGGATTTTCAATAAAACTCATATAGTCGTTTTAATTTATGATAGGAAGATACATAGATACTCTGACCATCCAAATTCACAAACTTTACCTGTTGAGAGCATTTTACACCTAATTGAAGTTAGTTGAATCAAAGTTGACCCAATTCAAGTCCTCTACCAATATATTTAATTTTCTATCGTTATGCCAAGATAGACGTGCAGCTTTATATCTAGTGGTAAATGTAGTTGATACAGACTACGTACATATGCTATTATTACGCTGCTTTATTAACCTGTTCACCTTTGAGCTGGTCCAACTGTCAGCAGTCGCCAGACCTCGACAATAACTCGTAATGTTGTAACTACAGTCCATCAGGGCAGCGCCGGCGCGCCGCCGACCTCGGCACCAACTTGCGAATATCCAACCTTATAAGGCACCAGTGGACCCTGATTACGTTTCCATATTTACACCGCACTGTTCATTATTAACTCTATTCTTCCTTTATTTAGGAAACCTCCTTGTAAAAAATGTGTCTTACGAAATCATTACAATCTTACATGTATGAAAGTTTCACACCCAGATGGGTGTCCCAAGCATCTGCTTGCAGTAGAATGGCAATTCATGAGATAGATTGCTTTGTAAGATTTGGTTAGGGAGAAGAGTGACGCAAATCATGGTCATAGACAACGGTTACAACATACCAATGTCTACGACATAAATATTAGTATACAACAACTAAATTAACTTTGCTAACAATTTTTCGTCACATAAAGATATATATATTGGTACCTATATATATATCTAATATGTTTACTCCCATTGAATTTAAAAAACCTAAAGCTTTTTTTATGGATAATTCAATTTATCATCAACAGTAATCTATTCCTGCTCAATATGTTTTTTTTTATTTACATATAGGCCTATATATGGTATATATATATTAACATTGAATTGCTAATATTAAAGCAACTATGGATTTAAACAGTTTGTGGTTAGTATGACGTAGGTAGACAGCAAGTGATTAGACAATTCCAGGAAATTTCCTTACTATAACAAGAAAAAACGATTTCGTAGGAATCGCAATGTTTTTTTATAAAATACGGTACACGTATTTTATTAAAAAACATCGCGACTGTAATTTCAGATAGAGTAGACAGAGGCATTGTCAAGTGTTGATGTCATGGTGAACACAACACTTATCTACATGCACTTTACTGAGTACCTACTCAACTGCAAAATAAACTTAATAATTTCGGGTATATTACGTATGTTCGGGGAAGTTGTAACCGAAACGTCTTCTTTGATTTTGAATTGGATATTATATTCCTCAAAATCTCTCAGATTATAAAAAAAACTTGATGTTTTTTTATAATCTGAGACATTAATATCCATTATAAAATAACGCCATGCTGAGAAGAAAACAAGATAGAAAGTATTGTACGAGTTACTAAAATAAAACAGAATTGCCAATGCTTAGCAAAGTAAAAAATAAAAAAAACATGTCCTACTTTTAGATTTATATACTGAACGCAGGAAAAATACTAGACTCATTTTTAAAATTCTTGCACCTATCAAGGTAGCAACATTTTCAATGTGTAACATAGGGTATATTTATCGCAGGCTGAGCAGTGGGATACTGCCAGTGTGCAATACTGTCACGATGGGCCAACTGACCTGACCTCATGATCATCTTATCATCCTCCACTGGTGCCCCGCCAGCGTAAACCGTTAGCGCAGGCGGGTGCACTATTCCATTATCATCCACATAATACTAGTAATAGGGAGGGAAGGGGATTGTTAGTAATGTGGATTGATAACCCCATTGCTAGCAATATACCTTGTCAGGTCGACCTCCACGCGGTTCCCCCTGGAAACCATCGTGTTTAATTCATGGTGAATTAGTCACGATGGGCTAACTGACCTGACCTCATGCTCATCTTATCATCCTCCACTGGTGCCCCGCCAGCGTAAACCGTTAGCGCAGTCGGGTGCACCATTCCATTATCATCCACAAAAAAAAAATACTAGTAATAGGGGGGAAGGGGATTGCTAGTAATGGGAACTAGTAATTCCCATTGCTAGCAATGTACCATGTTAGGTCGACCTCCACGCGGTTCCCCCTGCAAACCATCGTGATAAATTCCTAGTGAATTTGTCACGATGGGCTAACAGACCTGACCTTCATACTCATCTTATCATCCTCCACTGGTGCCCTGCCGGCGTACACCGTTAGCGCAGGAGGGTGCAACATTTCATTAAAAATAATACTAGTAATTGGAGGGATTGTTAGTAATGTGGACTAATGATCTTATTGCTAGCAATGTACCATGTTAGGTTAACCTCCACCCGGTTCCCCCTGGAAACCATCGTGATAAATTGTTAATGAATTTGTCACGATGAGCTAACTGACCTGACGTCATGTTCATCTTATCATACTCCACTGGTGCCCCGCCAGCGTAAACCGTTAGTGCAGGCGGGTGCATCATGCCGTTACCTTCCATAAAAAAATACTAGTAATAACTAACTAAGCATGATCAAGGTATATAGTAATTTCCATATTTAGTGACATTCAATCACTCTATTATGGAAATTAGTGTATGACTATAATTATTAAGAAATCAATGGCGTGATGACAATAATTTTAGTAAGTGCTTATTTATAGTATTTGCCTACTTGGTTACTACAGTACAGCTTCATGAGTACAGTTAATCATGAGCTCTCCGTATTTGAGCAGTGACCATATTGCCCATGTACGGGGAGCGGTCGTGTTTGTACCGCATAATGTAGGTATGAGTCAGAGACAAATAGATATACCTTGGTAATATAATAATATAATAATAGCGCAACCAAGCTTGAAGCTACTAGTTCAGTAATATTTATGGACTACAATTACACAATTATTCATCCATCTAGTAATGTATCCGATATGAAGGAACTAATTTATTCAGCAGTTTTATCCGCACGAACCTGCAACAGAACTCAATTTCGATGGAAATAAACATGGATTATATTCATTGCTGTTTGTCATTTAAGTGCCTATATTATTAAAGATTTATTTATAGATGAGTTTAAACTAACATATTCCAATACACCATATGATATATTTTCGTTTTGATTGCATTTTTGTCTCTGTTTTTAACTGTCATTCCAGTAGATTTTTTACAGAAATTGTTACAATCCTACATATTCAATATATTTAAAAAAATAGGTGGTAATAAGTTTTTAATAGTTATAAAAGCACATTAACAAAAAGTAAATAATTGAGCGATTTAAAGAGTTTTAAACTCGAATCGAATGAAGATTGACAATTAGGCGTATTTCGTAAATTTCCAGGTAAAGGTATATCTGCGAATCAGTACCTAAATATTTGCACAGCTACTGCTAATAGCACAAACCATATCACCCATCTCAATAGTACGCGTTTCAAGACGTAACAGTGCGGATATTAGCGTGTTTATACCTCTTTGTGTAAGGTTTTATTCTTTTCATAATAGGTTTATATTTAAATAAAAATCAGACATAGTAATAGTCATGTTTATTCAATAATTAGTCAATTAATTAAACCTAAACCTAAAACCTTATTCTATTGTACTTTTCTATGATATTCAGGGGTAGCATTCCCATAATCTTGCAGGTTGAATAAGGTGGATCTATTAGTCACCATATATTTAAGAAAATCTTGTATGTGTGATAACACATGCTGTAGTGATCTCTCATCGAGTGCTGTGTATGCTAACATTGGGCCCATTTTGGCAAACAATCTTAATAAATGTATTGAACCATATATTTGAGACATTGGCTTATCTGGGTAGTCTTGCAAAATTTCGCTATACTGTGGTCTCTCAAACTTATACAGCAGTTGTGACCCTAATGTGGCATTGAAATACTCTTTTATGCCCTCTGTAATGTCCACTAGGACCGACTCCTTTGCTTGATTATGTGACTTGCTTGATTTTTTGAATGCTAAATAATTATCTACAATTTGTTCCACCGTCAATTTAGCTGGTAGCATGGCGAGTTTCTGTTGTCTCGTTATCACATCCCAGTCGTCCACCAACCATACTTTCAATTCCTCTGGGATTTTAATTTTAACTTCTACCTTTGCTAGGTATTGTTCTTCCGACTCTATTGACAAATCTAGCCGACCGCGTTTTTTCCTGAAAATAAGAATAAAATTTTACTGACATTCTTATACTACATAGGAGGATATATCTAAAAGCATTACATAGAATAATACTTCATATATAAAAAAGTACTACCAATATGTATAATATATATAAAAATATCATCTTACTTAGGTTGATCGGATCCCGAATCAGCTGGCGTGTCTTTGCTCTGAGTCTTTGCAGTTTTTGCCGGTGCAGGCGTACTATCTGCTTCTTTACCTAAAAACATCAATTACAACATTAAGTGCGTAGATAGAACTTAAGACATGAGACAGACATAATTATAATTAGTCAGATCAAATAAATAATAAAATACATATTTAACTGGCATTTGTCACTAGATCTATCTAGATGGTCATGAAATATTAAATTATATGACGTTTTTACAATTTCATCCAAAAGGCCATTTGTTCTTTAGCAGTCACAATAACTGTGTGTTGAATCAATTAATAAATATACAGTAAAGTATAGGCATATCAAGAGTTATGTCCACTATTGACATTAATAATTGACAATGTCTCCCATCTATCTCATCTGCAATAACTTCATACATCATAATTTCATCTTTTACTCTTACCATCCCAATGTTGTAATGTGATCCCAAGATCATATTTAAAAACACTAATATATTATCATTTAATAATTTAGTTTCTATATAAATAAGTTGGTTTTTAAATGACAAGTTTATGACTAGAACCATTTATTTATCTTAAAAAATATATCCTCATTACTGTCTTTTTCTTTTAGTTTTGTTGATATTCATTTTGCTAATCATAATTTTGCTTCAATGCAGCAAATAATATTTGTTGCATTGATGCAAATTCAGTGCACATACTAACATTTGTACATAGTGACTTTAATATCATTGAGATGAACAACAACAATGATGTCACATATTCAAAATAATGATACAAATTAGATATGTAACAGATGTAAGACATTTCGACAATTATATATTTGTTCTTTTTTCAACAGACAGCAGCCTAAGGACTGCTTTAATTGCATAATATCATACAACTTTAACCATAAGTACATGTTTGTCCAAAGTCATTTATTTTTAAACACAGGAACAGTGTTATATATGTGTTAATAACAAATTGAAGTAATTTTTTCTTATTAATGCTAATAATCTTAAAGAGTATTCTACAACCATGACTATTATATTATGTATGCAAAGTATAAAAATATCATAAAGGATTAATAGTTTTACCAGCAGGTGTGGAGGCCCTGGACTCTTCTCGGGCTGGTGTTGAGCTTGCCTCTGACTTTCTCCCTTTAGCAGGTGCTGAAAAAAGAATATTATATTATCAGAATTAAAATTGTCATGAAATTATTTTCATACTACAGACCATAACATGAATGGCAAAACAGTGCAGCAAGAAGACATAAAGGGTTTTTTTTAAGGTTGATAAAGGTTCCATTATCAACCCTCAAAAAAAAATTGTAGTGCACCCGGCTGCGCTAACGGTTTATGCTGGCGGGGCACCAGTGGATGATGATAAGATGAGCTTGAGGTCAGGTCAGTTAGCCCATCGTGACAAATTCGCCAGGAATTTAACACTATGGTTTCCAAGGGGAACCACATGGAGGTTGACCTGATACCATGTCAGGTCGACCTCCATGCGACATAACCCCATTGCTAGCAATGGGGTTAACAATCCCCTTCCCCCAGACATAAAGGGTTATGTCAAAATAGATTTTGACTCTTGTGGATGTACTAATAATTAAAAATTAAACTAAACTTACTTTTCTTGGTTTTAACAGGCTGTGCAGAGTGTGCCCTTTGCACTTTCTTCTGTCGCTGCACATTAGCTTCATTGTACTTTAGAACTCGACTCTCAGGCACCCACTCATCCCAACTGAAAGGATTCAAACAAATACTTATAACAACAAATCATTTTATTGTACTATGACAAGAGGACTATAATCTTAGCATGATTATTTTCCACATATCATAGCATTATGAATGTAATAAGAAATAACTAAAACATATTCATTTACTAAGTCTGACTATATTTTACAGAAGCAATTTTGAATAAATTCCAAGAAATTAATTTTACTGCAAAAACTTACAAAGTATAGTTGTTTTATAACGACAAGATTACAATATTAAATATCATCTACAAAAAGCTTAATGTGTCATGTTAATAAGTTAACATGACACATTAAAGCTTATATGTATGTTCATTATTGACTGACATATGTATAGCTTATAAGCTTGTATGTATATTCATTATTGACTGACCTATGACTTAAGTATAATAAATAAAGTGGTCTTTACATTAGGTTCCAGTGGTATACCTCATATAATAATTATGATAAAGATAAGAATGTTTTTTTTTTTGTTTTTTTTGCGCTAATTATTAACCCATCGTGATAAATTCACCAGGAATTTAACACGATAAAGATAAGAATGTTAGCTACTCAATTACTCATGTACACTAATATTACTAGCTAACCAATCTGGATAATAGGGATAATGATAAAATATAAGTCGTGCATAAGACGCCGAAAGGTCCTACATGAACACCTGAATTTGAGATTTAAATAAGATTGAATTTATTGTGTGTTTGTATGGATTAACTCAAAAAATGTTTATTATGCTTAGAAAATCTCGATAAACTCACTTCTTATTCCATCCTGCGTAATGTATCAGGTATCTAACGTGGTCATCCTTAGTTACAGAACTTTTGAGACATTTTGCCTCATAAATCAACGGCCCATGGAAGCATAGAACTTTTTCACCTGTAAACAGATTTAATATAATTTATTACACAAGTGTTACAATTTCATACGTGAAATTCCTTCCCATAAATAATTGCATAATAATAACAATTTACCTTCAGCAAACTTTAATTTCGGCGGCATTATTTTTATTTAGATATTGATACAAAACAAAATGATAAATAATTAATACATCGATGGAGGGACAGCACAGATTACAATAAGAAATATGAAAATAGAGACTACGTTAGTGTAGCCAAGTGACAGTTTTCTTTCTCCCCAAATTTTGTCCAAAGTACATTTTTGTATTTAAATATCCCAAAAGTCTGTTCTAGTACCACTAGCATACCAAACACAGCGTGACCATAAGAAAGATGAGCAGATGTCCTAAGACATGTTATTGTTCTTCTAATCCGCATGTGTAGTACAAAGTAATGTGTTCTGCAAAAAATATCGAAACTTTAATTTCTTTGTTTCACATATTAGCTCAAAATGTTCTTATCCCGATCATCATAAAAACCGCCATAATGCACAATTTCTTTATAATGGGTTTACAAAATTTAAAAAATTTATGAAATAACTCCTGTAAATATGGAGTTCTGGCAACACAGGAGAGAAAAATATTGTACGGTTTATTCTGTGCTTTCGTGTCATGAACAGATCTATGTATTTGATTTTCATAACTGACATTAGTGACAGTACAGGCTGATAGAACTGTCAACCAACGTCTGACGCTAAACTTTACGGCTGTATAGGATTAGACTATTTCCTTTACTTCCTGGCTTAGACAGAGAACTGAGAGAACTTCACTATTATTTGCATTTTTATCGTATTCGCTTACCTTATACATATTAAATAATTATGGTCATGTATAAAAACAGTTCATAACAAGTCGCTTCTCGCTAGAGCCTGATTCTTGACTGGTCTTGAATAACTTAGAGATTATATGCATTATATTAATTCTGATTAATTATAAAAAGTATGTATACACCCAGGATGTAGGCAAGATAATATTCATTTTACCTTCCCCCCCCCCACCTACCCTCCCCGACAAATAATTAATTAGAAGATATTCTGTATAGAGAAATTCAAGACTAGGAATAATTAATACAAAATAGTCTTAACTTGACAACCCCCACCCCTACTGTTGCTTCATTATGGAATGAATAAATGGATGAAGGACTTTTTTTGTGATTATTTTTTGTTTTGTTTTTAGTTTGTACTTTCAAGTATGGCATTTACATAAATACTTAATAAGATACTTGGTTTTCCCTACCCAGAGTGGGGGCATTAGCAAATGGTTAACGTGAGGCGAGTCGAGAGGGAAGGTTGAAAGTAAGAGGAAATATTAGAGGTGGAAAGGGAAAAGGTTAAGGTGGGCCCACGTCTTCGTTAGAGAGCTACAGAAGATCACCCCTCCCTAGGAACTCGGCAAGTCCCTGGAAGTGGCGTGATAGTCCGGAGAACGCGCGTGATGCGACACCCGCCACGCCATGCTCCTCACAAACTCGACCACTGAAGGAGCTTGAGATCTTTACTATCATATTATAAGCATAAAAAAAATTTGTCACGCCATAAGCCATCGCATAAAGTTTGACACACATATCAACTATCAATGTTATATCATATACATACACTCATGACAGATGTTTTTATTTTTTTTAATAGATAAAATTGGTGTTCATTATAAATATTTCGCATGACCCCTTTTCAATTTGCAAATATCATATAAGATATACACGCTACAGTATAAAATCGTAATGGCATAATATCAGGAAAATTCCAATTTTTTTTTCATATTTGACCTCTAGCTAATTAGTTATCAATAATTAAGAAGACACAACAACTAAGTTTCCAATTAACCTTTGAACAATTCCGGCAGTAACTAAGTCCACAATTAATATTTACCTGGTAAAAGTCTTATAGTTCAAATGGACACGATAATAGTTTAAAATAGCGAAGAGGATCTTGGAGTCTACTGTGGATTAATGGTGGACCTGTGGCCCATAGGTCCTGTTACTACCAATACGATGTAACGTATTGCTAGTAATAGGACTAGCAATACGATGTCCTCTCATTTCGGTCAACCAAGATGGCCTAAATGAATAGAATGATAGGATGACTTCATGGTCATCCTATCACACTCTACTGGTAGGCACCGGTAGCTAGCTTATAACATTGCAACTGGGCAAGCAAATAATGAATTCCGTATAAAAAGACATTTATAAGACAATCCTTACTTAGAGTGCGAATTAATATGGTACTAAACTGTTGCTATTCATTAATTACTAATATGTAGATACAATGTCGACATGGCTTTAGGTACAAGTGGTTCCATCAACCTAATTTTACAGCGAGGAAGCCTAGTGAAACAGAATGGCCAACATTTTCGTACTACGACAAGTCGATTTATATTTATTTTTCCAAAAATTGATAATTTTGAATGAAATGAATATTTTTAGTATATAGACAAATATTTTAAAAGATCATGCAAGCATGTCCATCCAATATAATCCAATCCATCCAATATAGGATGAAGGAATATGTTGTCATGCATTAATGCTCTATAATAATTTATTCCTTCAGCTGCTTGATACAGACGTACGCAGACAACACCAGTCGTACACGAGTAGGACACACTAAACAATTTAAAGTAACTTTCTGGTAATAAAAACATCATATTTTAAAAGCTTTCAACGATTTTTACGATGATGATAGTCAGCACCAATTCTCGTGTTGATTATATAGGTATAAAACTATATGTATTAAATACCTAATTGTTTACATATGTAGGTATATAAAATAGTTCAGTTACAGAAGTAAGTAATTACCTCAATTTCGATTAGGAATTTGACTGAAAATAACTAAAAGAAAAAATCGGCTATGATTCAATATTCGTCTCAGTTCTAAAAATTTGTTCCAGTCGCCCACATATCATTTTATGTATGTAATTACGACCATCCAACTACCTACTAAAACGTTCCACAGATATATCTATAATAATCGATCTTATATTTTAATTAGTTTTTATACACCTTACAACCATATATGTACCTACCATATACAAACATACTCGAATGTACACACTATCATGTACAAACATACGAGTAGATAACCTTTTACAATCAGAAACTCATCAGGTCATAAAAAATACAATACTGTAAAAACGACAGTGAAATTGAGTCCAGTTGAATTTTTTGTTGAACTCACACTGCGATAAATTAAGCAAGGCTATGGGTAGTAAACAACTGGTAGACATCATTTTATTTTGCAAATACATACTATACATACAAAAATACCCAAAACAATACAAGTACACTTGGTCTATACTTTTTTACACCACATACGGGCTGTATGCCACACCTCAGCACTCAAATTTGCTCGATAGGAAACTTTTCTAAAACCAGACTGACTTCGCAGTCAGAACGAATGAAAAGAGGAAGTCACCGCTCACTTCATCTTTTTTCTTCGTCTAGGGTGAGAAGATGAATTCCCTGTCAATGGCGAGCGCTGCGACGGTACATGTGGCTGTTTTGAGGGTACATTATGTTTATTAGACTAAGTTATATGCCGGTAAGTTGCCGAGTTTGATAGTTTATCTGGCCTCACATATAAGTTCAGTCGAACGATTGTCCTATATCTTTTGATTGGAGCATTTATACGCTTCATCTTTTTTGTAGATAGTCGGATAGGTAGGCCGATCGTCTCACTGAACATAATAATGTGAGACCAGATTAAGTCGCACGTCATATACATTAGGTGCTCACACTGCTTTACCCACAAAGTAAATAAATCTGTTGTATTACTGTAGATATCGTTGGCTAAATACTGCTAAGTGGTTGTTATCGGGGCTCCTATATGATAAATGTTTATCTATTACGTAATTAAGGTTTATTTTTGGAACAAAAATAACAATCATTTTTCATTCATTTTAAGGACGGAAGCCAAACTATTTGTTTCTATCAATCTGTTTAGTAGACCAGAGAAATTGTGGGGTTAGGGAAATAGTACGAAGTAAGCTAGATACGACTTCATGAATGTTGACTTTAAAATGAAATGGATATAAACGAAAACTCGAAAATGACACAAATTTTATTTGTTATTAAATTAACCACGCTTTTATCCACTTAAAATAATGTGTGTCTAACCTATAGATCTACCGACAAAATGTATTTAATAGCGACATGGCGTACTGGTCACTACCCTCACTAATGACAAAAGTTCGTAACAGCTCGGCATAAAAATTTGTGTCAATTTATATTTTTGACTGACTTTCCGGTAATGGAAACACCAACAAACCAAATAAATCCAAGACGGCTATAGGTTTGCACTGTGCCACATCGTATTCAAGTGACACGTGCACGTAGCGAAACGTGATCATGTCAAGTGTGATATTTACTGTTGCATCGACAATTTGACCTACCGTTTTTCCAAAAGTTTTGCCACGTATCTGGCGAGGCATGCTACGCATATTTATAATTATGTAGGCATGTCATAGTTGTCAAAAAAACATGAAAACTTCCTATCCAACATTTTTTAATTTACCTCATTATATACATCAATGTCGTAAATGTTGTTATACAAAATAAATAAAAAATATTTATGATGAGACTTGTTGTGTGTGTTATGCATAGATAGGTAGAGTAAATAATTAAGTGCTCTCTTAAAAAAAATGTACCTACGAACTCGACCTTTCTACGATTTTATTATATGTATAAATAGTGATAAGTACACGCACATTATAGCATTTAGTTCTCGGGCCTACTAGCACGAATATCTCCTATAACCTTCACTGGGGCTCGGGTACTGACTTCGCTCACATCGCAGTCGCGCGGCGTCGTTAGACCGGACCGCTGCTTTTCGTTTCGACTACATTCCATTCCGCCACATCACAACATGTCTCAACAAGGCCCTGCCTTCGACGTTAATGCTATGACCCTCACAAGATGGGTCTTAGCACAGCAGAGAAATGCACCAACGGCCACTGGTGATCTGACACAGCTTCTCAACTCGATCCAAACAGCAGTCAAGGCGATACAGTCAGCGGTCAGGAAAGCCGGCATCGCTAAACTGTATGTATTAACAACAACAGAATGAAAGTGGTTTATATTTTTGTATAGGTTATGTTGATGTTTAATTTGGTCGGTGGGTGTGTTACCGCGTCATTGTACGTGTTATCTTAATAAATATCATGCTCATATCGGTCATATAGTATACATGTAATAAAAAAAATAAAAATCAGTGCTGTAATATTTAGTTCAATAGAACATCGGCAATATGACTCATTTTCAAATACGAAAATAAAGTTTTATTTTAATCCTTTTACGATATTGAGGAGATTACTCTTAAAGAAACTTCTGAATTTAATGTTATATGAATTTTTTTATTGTTTAATTATAAAAATTCTGCTAGTAACATTCATCTACCTTACATCTGATATATCACATACAAAACTGAATCTATCGATTCAGTTCTTTAGTAATTAATTTCTGAAATAGATTAAACCTTAACACAGCCATTAAAACACATTTAAAAATAACTTAGGACAACGACCTCTATGTGCCAATATGTTGTGAACATGGACAGAGGCTTAGATATAGCTAAGTTACTAAGTAAACTCTTAACTTTCTGTTCTCATGCTGATGAATGATTATATTCCAGTCATGGAATATCCGGCGACGTGAATGTCCAAGGCGAGCAGGTCAAGAAATTGGACATTTTATCCAACGACCTGTTTGTCAACATGCTCAAATCGTCTTTCACCACCTGCCTTCTTGTATCCGAAGAAAACACTACGGCGATAGAGGTATTTATATTATGTACTAGCTTTTACCCGCAGCTTCGCTCGCATGTTTTTTTTAAATAAAAAGTACCCTATATCTATTCTAATACATCCAAGAACATGTGTAGAAAATTTAATGATGATCGGTTCTGTAGTTTTTGCGTGAAAGCGTAACAAATATCCCTACTTTCACATATATAATATTGGTAAGGATTAAATAATAATAGTAAATGTTAATAGTAATATAAAATATATAATAATAGTTATAAAATATATAATAAATAATAGTTTTAAAGTCCCTTGCTAAATAAATATTATTGTAGGGAACTAGGGCATTGCCTATACCTAGGTAGGAATGTATAGGTGTAATTTTTTTTTATAATTTTTGATTTATCCTTTAATACCTACACATGCAAACAAAAATTAAAATTTTTCCTTCTTATAATATTACATGATTTAATTTTATATAATACGTAATACATTTAAGTTTTAGTCACTGTGATGTACCTACTTCTGTAATTCATGTCCTTAATATTAACTGACCCATGTTTAATAAAAATAATTATTTAATATAAATAAAAATAAGTACGGAAAAGTCTTTGTATCTTTTTTTAAAATACTTATATATTTAAAATTTTAAGCTACCTACTTTTAATTTTTGATTAGATAAATACAAGTAAGCCTTCTAATTTCGTCGTAAGCAATCATGTTGCATACTTCTTATCTATATATTTATACTAGCTGTATCCGCGGTTTCATCCGCATGAAATCCGTAGCCAATGTGTTATTCTGATGTATAAGTTATATTACTGTAAAGTTTCATCAAAAACCGTGCAGTAGTTTTTGCGTGAACGAGTAACAAACATCCCCAGACATAGTCACAAACTTTCGTATTTATAATATTAGTAAAATGATACTATAGATAGTTTCCGTTTTCTTTCTTTTTGCATGCTAAAAATCCATGTAAACAAAGATCATATTAAATTCCACGTCTATAATTTATAATTTATCATGAGGATATGGTTGGACGATCTCGTTCGATCGTATATACATATGTATAGTAGTGTTTATTCATCATATTCCTCAAGATAAAGGTCAACTGTATAAAATGTTGTATCAGATAGAGTACAAATATACCATTTTATTTTGTTTACGATTATTTTATCATTAATTGATATCCGGAATATTATTACTACTGAATGTAACTTTTACATAACGGTTTGAGACTTTGTTTCGTATAATAACGTCTTAACGAATCGACGTAAAAAAGAAAAGTAATTAATTAGACATTATATTTGTGTTTTAGATAAATACAAAAAATAGTCTACTTATAAAAAAGAGTGATTGGATTTACTTATTTCCGATGAATAAACTTGACTGAAGCTTATATATTTATGCTGAAGAATATATTTGAGAGATTTTAAAAATTCTAATGAACTTACGCTACGCTACATTTTCAAAGAGTTACATCAACAGATGTGTTTAAAAAAAATTGAGATTTCTACAATAATTACTCGCATGCGATGCCCAGCATCGACTATTACTATTCAGATCACTGCAAAACTGAAAAAAACTACATTTCACTTAAGATATTGGAATCTGAATAGCCGGCACTCGAATTATTTTGATTTATTATATGCGATATCTAACATTTATACTCTGCTATAAGCACAGATAAGATAATATTATATTCAAAAGCTATCTTTTATTTTGTTTGAAATTTTAACTCTCAGTGAGTTAAGTGCAAACTGATTGCTACTCTTATTATATATCTACATATATAATAACATAGCCATTGCACATAATATATAGTTCCAAAGCCTATAATAATGTAAAATACATCGTCTGGAGTCGTGACTTTTTCGGATTGCATGGGGCGCCCCTTCTGTAAAAAAAAACGCAGTTTTTAAAATTTCTTAAATAGTTTTTTGCCGTCCCAACAAGGGGCGCCTATTGCCAACAAAGGCTCTGCCCTATTATACCACACACATTAAACTAATATTTAATTAAGTAACGAAGTAAATCAATCACAGTGGTTTGAGTAGACCAGTCCCTGGCAGCACCCTTTCACGAGCAATATAGCCTTATAAGTAACTGTAAATAAAATTATTCCAGGTAGAAACAGAAAGACGCGGCAAGTACATTGTCTGCTTCGACCCACTCGATGGATCCTCCAACATTGATTGCCTGGTCTCCGTCGGATCTATCTTCGCTATTTATAAGTAAGTATTCTAGAACTTTCAATCAATCAGCCGTTAATATTTAGTCCATACAAAGAAATAACACAATGTCCTAATTACTTTTAGTATGTAATGGGGAGTTGTTTTATTAATGAATATTGAACAGTATCTCTATTGTTAGTAATATACCTATCACATTCGCCTGAAAACCAAGATGTTTATACCTGTGAATTCAACATCAATGAACAAAAGACACCATCCCATCATCTTCCACTGGCTCTCGCCTGCGTATACCGTTAGCATAGGCAAATCCACTATACCTACTATAGCTCATTGGCACAGATTAGCGCGTTCAAATCATTCAGCTTATTGGTACCTCACTATATGTACTTATATGTTTCAATTTCCAGAAAAACATCGAATGGCGAGCCTTCTGTAGCCGATGCTTTACGACCGGGCAGCGAGTTGGTAGCGGCTGGGTATGCCCTTTACGGGTCTGCCACTATGCTGGTGCTCTCTATCGGAAAGGGCAAGGGAGTCAACGGCTTCCTGTACGATCCATCTATTGGAGAGTTCATACTCACAGACCCTAACATGAGGATTCCTGAGAGGGGAAATATCTTTTCTGTTAACGAAGGTAACTAATGTTTATAAATTCATCATATGATGCTTACAAATAGATTAAAATTTGAAATCAATCGTTTATTAATCACTCTATATCTACATATGTACTGCAGAATAAATGTATTTTATTATTACTATTAGGTTCACTATTATTTGTATATTTATACGCGAAATTTTAACATTTTTAAATCTATCATACACGTACACACATTGACTTTGTATAAACCTTTGGCTAATCTATTTTTGCCATAAAGCAACTTGCTATAAGTTGTGATTTAGCTGTAAGGTGAAATGGGCAGGGTACGGATTCAAAACATCCAAAGGCAATATTTGATGGTGTTGACTGTAACGCTGTTCACGTATATAGGCCACGATTGCCATTTACCATCAGGTGGACCGTCCGCTTGTTTTGCAATCATGTTATATACAAAATTTATTACATAAAAAGGTTGTTTATGCTGAAGTTTCCTCTAGATTCCGAACACATCTATTTGATTTTTTTAACAATGAAATAACCGTATTTTTGACTGTTTTTATTAATCAAATAACCATACCCTTCCTTCTTTGACATTCGAATTAAAATATTACAACCGTTTGTCTACTGTTGCAGGTTATGCAGCAGAATGGGAGAATGGTCTCTTAAGGTACGTGCAAGATAAGAAGGCTCCTAAAACGGGCAAGGCGTACGGAGCCCGTTATGTGGGTTCCATGGTCGCCGACGTGCACAGAACCATCAAGTACGGAGGCATCTTCCTGTACCCCGCCACCAAGTCAGCCCCCAGTGGAAAAGTAAGTTTACCTTACCTTTACCTACAAGCAGTGTTAGCAAAACTAGCTGTATCTCCCTGTCTCTTAAGTTCAGTAAGACTATAGACAAATAATATTAAGGACAAAGACTATAAATCTATTCGTAATTTGACCACAGACTTCGACAATATATCCGTGTGTGTGTCAAATAAATGGTTTGAGCATATAAAAATTAATAAACGACAAAATAATGTCCTTTCAAAATACGGTATGTTGTTAGGCTTCCACAACTTTCGAAAATACTTCAGACTTATAGATACAGTGTATTTGCTCTACAGAATCGCACTCGATAACTTTGCTTCTATGTTTTTTTTATGAGATTGAAACTGCCACGCTGGTGCTTATCATTAGTCCAGGAACACTTACCACAGACCATAAAAACTATGTACGTTTTTCTTTTTCAGTTGCGTCTTCTATACGAATGCAATCCGATGGCGTTCATCGTGACCGAGGCGGGTGGTTTAGCCACCAATGGAAGAATACCGACGTTGGACATCCAACCTACTGCTATTCACCAGCGCGCGCCCTGTTTCCTCGGCTCCAAGAGAGACGTCGAAGAATTGCTTACATACTTAAAATGATATTGTCTGTGATAAACTGTACTATTTAGTAAGATTCGTGCCAGAAAGGTCAATTATAATTTATTAGAAGAAATGTTCTTTTTTTTAACACTTTCTGCATCAGTCATTTGTAATCAATTACAATATTACTACCTGACCCGGGTCCTGCATTGTTTTGCCTAATTGTTAAAGTTTCATTAAAAAATGTTATTTAGGGTCATTTATTGGAATAAAAACTATCATAGCTCTCTCATATTGTCCGGTGTAAACAAAATTAAGTTTACGAAGGCAGTACCACAGTACATACCATATGCTAAAATGATGGAGAGAGCAGATTTTAATATAAAATCTGTTCTCGTCCAAAATAAAATTTGCACCAATATATTTCATTATTCCAATAGAACATTATTCCATTTAGAATAATCTTTCTTTGTCACATCCTGTATATATTAATATGTACAAAACTTACAAAGATATGAGACCATGAGGTAATCCGGCTAGGACTACTAGTTCATAAATAAAAAAGAATATTATAGATATGATATGAAGAATATTTTAGTGAGAAGAAAAAAATAAACGACTCACTTAACTTATTTTGAATAATTTATTTATACAAAACTGCATGAACATGAACTCTTGTTTTTTTAGACTCTCGTATAACATACAATAATAATTGTCTATTACATTATACATTTACTATTTTATTATACTGTTGTTTAAAGTGTTGCTTTCCTTAATACGGTCACAATATTCATCTGTCTATAAGCTTAACTAATACGAACATTACAATACCAGTCTTATGCGCCACACAATAATAATAACAATCCGGCAGCAGTTGTATATGCAACTACGCCGTCAGTGCGATAAATTGGTGGAACACGTCAAGAATGTGTGGGTCCAGATCTTGGGTGAAGAGTAACGTCTCCAGCGTACTGCTGTACTTTTGTACTTGTTCATGATGCTAAAACAATAAAAAAAAGAAAACAATTTCAGAATAATATTATTTTATAAATATAGGTAATAATAGTGAAAATTCTTTTTCTTATGGATTTTTTTTTATCGTCACTTGGTTTATTACTATTATAAAGATCAGTATATTTTAGGGCATAATCAAAATCATAGTTTGGGACAAAATTATTATCGTCGGGACCACGTGTAAAACAGTAACTCGGCACAGAATTTTATCCTAAAATATAAACATTACAAATTCTAATGTAGCTTACAACTCACAAGTTCGTTTCCGCAGAAATAAGTCAGTAAATACATCTCTCTTTTTCCCAACTACTAGTAATCATATTACACTGTTTAGGGCTCTTCAGGTCCCACGTACCGAACGCATACTAAAATTTAATAAACAATGAAACTATAAATACTGGAATGGCACTTACGACGAGGAAGACCTGCTGTAGTCGTCCGACTGTGCTGCGGTACCAGTGGGTTACCGGATCTCTCGCGTCCGTGTCACACCGCACCAGGTGTTCCGACAGGATCATTATGAACCGCTGGAACACGATCAGGAACAGACGCTTCTGGTCCATATGCGCCGCCTCCAGCCGTTCCTCCATTCGTTCAACAGCCTATTAAATAGATATCAATTGTTTTATTATTTCCTGCTGCTGCCTAAACGAAATTTATGAACAATATGAAATTTGCTATTATTGTAAGTGTAGAACATGACGTTACAATTGATTTCTTATACTCTGACCACTTGAGCGTAGCCTCCACATGAGTAATTTGTTAAAATGATACGAGAATATTTTTGTGATCTATTTTGTCCTTTAAGTTACCTACAGTCATAAGTGCACCTGATACTTCCCAAATACAATTTCTTGGAACGAATATTCGAAGACGACATTTTGAAAGGAATTTCAGTCCCCCCTACCCGAGGAATGTCTTAATAATGTTTTTTATTCGGTTATAGACACAGACCTTTATGCCAATAGTTGTCAGAAGTCTCAATTGCATGTACATAAGTAACAATTTGATTGTCTATCTGTAATTAAACGATTAACAGTAACTCAGATAAAAGACGCTTTTTGATTTACCTCCTCTGTCGGTTTGTCCTGATCTTTCTTCTTCTTGGTTCCGCCCTCCTCCTCAGAGTCTGAACTGCTGGAGTCGGCTTTAGCGAGTGCTTCTCTGGCTTCTTGTAGTTCCCCGCCTACGAAAAATTAAATACGTGTTTTACCTTCCAATGCCTATCTTCTTAGTAATAATGTAGGTAGATTTATTGTACTGTATAACCTCGACCCCTCTCAAGAAGTATTAATAACGATTTAATATGTCGAGACACTAAGAAACTGAAAAAAAAAAACAAAATCAGCCGACCTGATGGTAAAGGTAGTCTATACACAATAAAAAAACATTACATCATTATGTGACGTACCTTTCATTCGTTACCATTCAATCCCCTGCAATTACAGCTACGTAGCTAGATAAATACCCACGTAGACTACTTTGTACAAAATACTGAAAGATCTATTTATTATGAACTAAAAAAGTTTATAAAGATCACATTCCAAAAATGTTCTTAAAAATGCGGCACTATCATCATCAATATCGCCAAAAGCTATCCATTACAGATAACTTGAGGAAAGAATCACATATTTCGGAATGGCAACGCATGACTGGTGTCACATGATGTTATGTCATGTCATGTCGACACTTACCATCAGGTGGGACGTCAGCTAGTTTACCATTCCCATTACAAAAATTACATATCGTACTCACTTAATTTGGAGACGTGCTTGTTCATCTTATCAATAGTGAGATGTAACACCTCCCACAGGTAGCCGTGTGTGAAGAACGGCGCCATCTCCTTGGAGAACAGCCATGTGGCCACCGCACTGCACTCCACTATTTGCGTCTTTAGCATCTTGTCTATGAGCACGCACACCATTTGCGGATGTCGCTGCCACAGCTCCCACACGTTGCGCAGTATGCAGATCTGTGCCTCCTCTGATTCCGCTAAAATCTGTAATTTTAGGTTTATTCCATAGTTTTCGGTTGACATTGCAAATGTAACCTTAGCTTTATAGCTATTGCAATCGAATAGATTCTTTAATACTAGCTGTTACCCACAACTCCGTCTGTACAAACTTTCAACCATTATATTATTAGGCCCACCTAATTTCTTCGACATCCGTTTAGGCGCTAGAAAAGCTAACATCCAGACAGACGGAATTTCGCATTCATAATTTTAGATTAATAATATAGATTATTGTTAATTTTATTAGTGATGTAAGTTTTTTTAGTATGTTTTTTATAATGACTGACTTCTTCTATGTAGCTTACTTCATAAGCAGTGAAATTACAGAATAAGGGGAATGACATTATGGCAACAGGCATGACTACGATTGATTGGTAACGCGGGGTCACATGATAACGTCATGTCCGTAGTTCTGTTCATGTACATATGGGACGGTTACGGTTTACCATAAGGTGAGCCGTCAGCTTGGTTTTTCCTATTTCAATTACCTACATAAACTGACTGTTTAACATTTAGTTTAAATTGCCACGGAAAACTTTAGACCTACGTTATGTCTTGTTCAACTCATCAGATCCATTCAATTAATATAAAACATCAAAACCACGTGTTTACAAAATTCATTTATAAAATAAACTAACCTTGAATACATAATGGAACTTGGATATAGCCGCGAAGCTGTGTGAAATACTCTTGCTTCCCAAATTGAGGAGTGTTTGCACGAAGACGTCTATCTTTAGAGGATTGTGGGGGGCGGCCTGCGCTGTCGCCGGCTGTTCACCCTCTCGCAGGGGGTTTGGCAACTCGCGGAGGACGTTCAATGCTTCCTCTGGTGTGCATTTGTTGCGGACGCACACTACCAACTGGTGAGCTGCTTCGGTGCCCGGGAGAGAAGCTGAAATGTCACGAAAACATTACTATAAAATATAATGTTCTTTATATAGTTTGCATTTTAGAATAACAGTAAAATGTTGGCCGATCAAGAAGCAACAATCTGCTAGATCAATAGATAAAGCTTGCTTTTCTCTCATAACAGCAAACGATGTCGCGTGATACAGGTATGTACAATATCTGTTATCTGTTTATAATGTACTAGCTGTTACCGGTAATTTCGTCTTTAATAATGAATTTTCATCGAAATAAAATAGTGTCAGTATTATCCTGTGATAAAATCTACCTTCCCATCAAGCTATAAGACCCGTAAGACGATCAATCATGAAAAGTTATTAAACAGACGCACTTTCTTATTTATCAACTAATATAGTATGGATTAGTAATACTTATTATCTTCCACAAAATCAGCTAAATGCCAAACGAATTATGAAAAATCGTGTTTGGAAATCATTGTCGATTTTACACGTTCGTGTCGGCAATTAGTGTAGATGGTACGAGATAGTGGCAGAACAATACCGTGGGTTGCGCAAACTGGCTCGCTGGAGCGCGCTCCTCATGGGAAACACAAACTATAATCTATAACATTAGTTTATTCCAACCCTATTATATAAGGTGCTACATAATTATCTACTACAAGGCATAGTCTTAAAATACCTTAATATACAAATTTGTCGCGATGTTTGCAATAAAACTCTTCCGAAATGGCTTGACCGATTCTTATGAAATGTCGTGTGTATATTCAGTATGTCTAAGAATAGGACGTAATCTATTTTTCACATCCCTATGAAATAATTTATTTTAAATATATATATATATATTATAATTCGGCATTGAAAATTACATAAAATTCAAAATTTTCACCATTTCTCTCACACAGTTTTAAAGTATTTTATATTTTTTTTGTGTTTACAAATTTTAGGTATATATAAAAATAAAGCGACACTTTCTAATTTTTATACCGGGTTTATAATGTACTCTATAATAGCAGTTTTATGGCATAAAATTAAATAACTATTAGAATAGAATATAATTGGGTAACATTACGTGCAGTACAGTAACTATATAAGGAAATCAAATAGTTTCCCCATATACATATCGGTTTGTATATGTTATATGTTCACACGACACATTAATGCATAAATCATAATATGAAAGAATATCGATTGCTATTAGCTTCAATATTTCCTCTCCATTAGTCGGTAACAACTATAAACTTTAAAATATTGGAATTAAGGTGTAAAATGACTAACAAACAAAAGACATTAATTTTGTTACTGTTATATACTACAAACATGGCCATCTTCATTTATACCACTTATACATTGAACATTATCATCATCACAGATATGTAAGTATGTACATAAATCCTTAATTTTCAGTATATAAAAGGATCCTTCCATGCAGTGCAGTCAAAGTTTAGACATTGAGTATAAGTAGTAGTATGAAGTCATAGGTATGAAGATTTTTAAAATTGTATATCTTATATAGATCCCAAATGATGTAAGGAAGGCTACTACAACTAAAACATCTATACAAGTGTACAAAGGAATGTTTTTGTAATATTTTTATGTATTACATATTAATATTTTTTATGGCTAAATCATTGCTCGTCATTAGAACATTTATATGGCCTCATATGTCATGACGAATATTAATCTCGAATAAAAACATTTTTTTACCGACAACACTGACAGTGATTGCCTTTCATGAATAAAATATTGTTATAAATAAACTTGATACCAAAATTAACCTGTTAACCGGGCAAGACGCATAAATGCGTCAGGAGTAAACAATATCGGGTACGGGTGTCCTACCCGTACCCGATATTGTTTACTCCTTATGAATAAGTCTTCCAAAATTTATTTGGCACGCCCTGGAACGGACGGAGCGTATATTTTCGTCGTCGTCCGAATTGTAGTGTAGCATTATGTATTAATAATTGTTTTAAAATATATCACACAGAAATTAAGTTTTGAATTTTTATATGTACCTATTGTGTAATTTTATTTTGTTTACGTGCTTTTACTTGTTTTGTGATTCCTTTTGTACTTCAACAATATTAATAAACGATATATATTTAATAGTTTTTCATTTATTTTATGTTATACATAAAAATATAGACGGTCTCCGGGCGTGACGTATTGACATGTCCTAGCGAAACAATACGCGCCCGGTACATGTTGTATAATTTGAACGAGAACTCCCGGTTAACAGGTTAAACATGCTTTACTGAATGGATGTGCATTCAGTTTTGGAGAAGATAAAATAGAATATTAAAAAATTACAAAAGAAAATAGTGTTTTTAACATATCATAGATATCGCATAACTTACATGAAAAGGGTCAACAACACTACGTATCCTCTTCAATATTCACGCATTTCTACAATTTCAAAAATAGTTAAAATATTAGTTTTAATTGCAGGTCTAATGTATACGTGGTCACCACAGCCCGTGTGTGGACGTCTATAAAAAAAACTGCGAAAAGCCTGCGAGATGGAAAGTGCACGCGACGCGAGAATTTCACTCGTGCGTCCCGCTGCGTGGACGAACACTATTTCAACCGACTTCAAAAAGCAGAAGATGATAACAACACGATTTCTGAACGGATTTAGACCTACATTAGATTTAGATAGCATAATTATTTTCTTAAAGCTATTGGTAGGGATTTTAGAGGATGATAATGGAATAAACGTGTTACGCTGGCGGGACACCAGTGATGATGAGTATGAGGTCAGGGCAGTTAGGCCATCTTGACTAATTGACCAGGAATTTATTATGAATGTTTCCAGAGGAGGACATTCATGTATATAGATGACGTTTATCGCTTATCAATCAATAGGAGGAATGACTGCGCGTTTGCCATTCCAAGAATATAAAAAAGGTTACAAAACTAAGTATACATTGAATTAAATGCATTATTGGGAACATATCAAAATAATAGCTAAGACCAAGCAATGTAAACTTCAAAGATAAATGTATAAACTAAAAATAAATTTATTTCAGTAGGTACTTATATAAATTACATAGAAGTGTTAAAATTCATAACTATATATATTTTTATTTTCGTAGCAATAGTTAAAATACTTTCCTGTTTTTAAAATGGAGTTTGTATTTTTGCAAAGTAAAGATACCATCAACGTTGCAATTTTCTTTTTGTAATAAGGCCGTGTGAGTCTGTCTGTTGCATTACTTCCCCTGTCGGTAATAGCGCAATGGGCCATCCTGCGACTACCCACGTTGTCAGTGTCACATCAGACTATATTGCGCAAATATTATTTTGTATATAATCATATTACAAATACAAAAATGACTGTCTGTATGTTTGTTACAGGTAAACAGATTTTAAAGCAATATTACGTGATTGTATCAGGAGGACGGACATACGTTATCTTTTATCACGAAAAGGCAGTTGAATCCTGGAGAGGCCTACCATGGAAAGTCAAGAAAGAAAAGTAAAACCTGAAAATATGGTTTTAAAGTTTCGTACTAAATCCATGATACTACAGCAAACTGTAATATCATTAACAGAGTACAAATACAATTTTGGCACAAATACCAAGATATTTAAAAATATTTAATTTTAATTTAATTATTACCCATTATAATAATAATAAAAAGCAACCCTAGATAATTCACAAAGTCCCATATAGTTCCAAGCTCATCTGAACTTATGTTATGATTACTAGACAACTGATAGAAATATTTAAATTTTGTGTATTAATATATTTCCAGAATACAAATATTTGCAACGCGCTATGATTCGAACACTCAACTATTAGAAGAAAGGCGGTGTACCAAACCACTAGACCACCCAGGTCGTCATTATTCAGTGAAAATTTAATTCAAATAAACAACAATCGATACTACCCGGCCTTACGTCAGTAGTATTACAGACTTATTTAGTTTACAAGAGTGGACGGGCTTGAAATTAATTCATAATGTACATTGTTTTAGGAATCGCACAGTTACACTTCTTCACGAGTGGGGTGCTACATTCCCGCAAGAGTTGTCAGTTCGCGTCGCCCGGTGCATCCGCGCCGCACGCGTTATTTCCAAGGCATTAATTAAAAAAAGTGGCATCCGTGCATAGTGACAGTGGACAAAGATGAAATCCGCACAGCTATGCGTTCTCGTTGCGTTGATTGTGAGTATTCTAGATTTTTTGCTATGCAATGTTGGAAATTGGGTCGAGAAAATTTCGATTAAAATTAAGATCTCTGTAAATTCTATCTTTGTAATCCACTTCTAATTCAACTATGAGTTAATAAATTACAAATACCAATGTTAAAACATTGGTATCATATAAACATAGTATTGTTTTTTTTTATTATGAGCAAATTAATATAAAAGACCTGCATAGAATACAGGGACAAAATCATAAAATTCACAAATTATTTTGAAAATACTAAAAATATAGCTTCTTATATTTCTAAACGTCTATTGACCTAACGTTAAACAAAAAAATGGTATTATAATCTAACCGATCGCCGGTATAATGTAAAATCCGAATAATTAAATAGCTTAATCACTAATATTAGAACTAAGGGCCTTATATCTATTCTAAGGTTTATAACCTACACTTAGGATGGCAACTATGCTATAGTCGCTGAATACTATAGTGTGCAGTATATCCATGACGTCATTTATACATAGTCAAAACTTTCCGAAAGGCGATTAAGGAGTTCGTTGATCGGTTATTAAAAAACGGAAATCTATATTTTTCAGTTAATAATATGAAATACATACCTATTTTAATAAAAATATGATAATGAGGGGAATTCAAATAAAGTATACATAATTTTTTTTTATACGCCATTGTAATATATTTGTCCTCACTTTACAATATTTTACGAGTGTACTCGTAATACTTTTAATTTGCAACTATATCACACGTAAGTGCATAATACCATAGACAATGACCTCTGCTTAGTGTATTGTGTCGTAGGAGATTTTCCCAGGTAACTGGAGCGACAATATCGTAATTAAAACCATACTGTTGT